GATTTTTTGTTTGGTTTTTGAGACAAGGTCTTGATGTGTTGTTCAGGCTGGCCTCAAACTCACTATGTTGCTCATCCTGGCCTCACACTGTCATCCTCCCTAGGGCTGGGATTACAGGCATGTGCCACCACACCTGGCAACAATGAGAACAATTTTGATCTTTGTCTAAGAATGAAATCTCATTGTTTCAATTTATAATGGTGCATTTCTGAAGCTTTGGTTTCAGGTTCCAAAAGTAAGTTCCCTTATAATTGTTTTTCCTTAAAGGAACTCAAGAAGTATGGAGTGACAACTTTGGTTCGAGTTTGTGATGCCACATATGATAAAGCTCCAGTTGAAAAAGAAGGAATCCATGTTCTAGTGAGTGTGTAGTATTTTAGATTTTCACTACAAATAAGTTGTACCTTTCAATGATATTTATAAAACTTTACACTCAGTAATTTTGCTTTTTTTAAAAAAGGTTATGATAGGAGATAAAGTATTGGTAATGATCTTTTAAAATTCCTTTGGCTTAGTACATTGACAGTTTTGTCTTTAAAAATCTACAGATGCAGAGTATTTTCAACAAATAAAAAGGGAAAATTTAATGCACAACTCAAGAAAATAAAAATTTGATTTGGAAAATTGATGCAGTATTTAGCTTTTGTTCCTAGACTACTAGTTTAAATATACTTGAAAGTAATTTCCATAAGCTTTTTTTTTTGGGTGTGTGTATGGTACTGGGAGTTGAACCCAGGACCTTTACACTGAGCTGCATCCCCCCACCCTCTCTCTTCTCCTCCTCCCTCCCCTTCTTTTTTTTTTTGCAGTACCAGGGATTGAACTCAGGACCTTGAGCTTGCATGGCAGACATGGCACTAATGAATTATATCCCAGGCCTCTTTTTTCATTTTTTGAGAAAGGATCTCACTAAGTTGTCCAGGGTGGGCTTGAATTTGTGATCCTTCTGCCTCAGCCTCCCAGAATGCTGAGATCACAGGCATGTAGCACCATGCTTGGCTACAACCAGACATTCTTTGTTACCAGCCACCCAAGTGTTGGGGTTATAGGTGTGTGCCACCATGCTTGCTTCTGCAGAGCTTTTTGAGATTAGTTTCTTTTGCAATTCAGTTTGAACACAAAGTTACTGAATTATTTTGAATTCCTTGTTATTACCTAAGTATCTTGTTTCAGAGAAAATAGGAGCTTCATATTTGTTAAAATTTTTAATTTTTTTCACCAAATAGTTTACTCCTAAATCACTCCTAAATCATGGGAGTGGCTTTTAGGACCATTGAATGAAATTACCTCATAGTCTTAGGTGTCGTAAAGCTATTTGATTTGATTGTAGAAAGACAGTGTACTAGGAAAAGAACTGCACGTCTTGTACAGTTCTTCAGGTAGTGAGAAAGTAAAAGGAATATATTAGTTCAAGGTCATGTTCCTATTTTTTACTGAAAAGTGGTTAGTTCTGTAGACTATTACATGGGTGAGTGGTTGGGAAGGCAGTTTATGTAAGCAATAAATTTCCTATTGGTAGCACAACCATCTCATGTCTGATCCGTATGTTTTGGTAAAAACAAACATTGTTTTAAAAAATTTGTTTTACTAGTGTGGCATGATAATGATGTGCTTACATTCCCATTTATAAATGGTTCATGGGCTGGAAATCATTGGGGATAAGTGTAAACGTAAAATGCAGCCCTGTGGTTTCTGGTTTTCTTAAAATTTAAAATTAGAAATTAAGCTGAATACCAGTTCATTTCCATGTATTGTGTGTATGGCCTACAACGGGTAGATGAGAAATTAGCTTGTTTTGATAGTGACAGGGTGAGAAAATGACTTTGGATTGACCATAGTCTCCTTGAATCAGTAATGTTGGTAAAAACATTTGTGAAATAGAAGTGAACTAAAGAATCTGAACTAGTTTGTGGATGATAATGGTATGTCTGGGATTTATTCCAGGCCTTTAAATTGAGCTTTTTGTTTTCTTTTAAATAGTTGTGTGATCAGATGAAATTAAAGGTCTAACTTAAGCTTGAGGAAAAAATAAAGGGCATTTAGTGTTAAGTGTGGAATTTCCTTTTCCTACACAGAGTTTTAAGATGGAGTTAATTTATGTTTGTCTGGTGAAGAGAGTTTGGAACATAAGAGAACATCCCCCAAATAAGATCTTTTCAATCCTTTGCTCTCTCAAATCAAAGGCACATTGGAGCCAAGGATGGTGGTATATGCCTATAATCCCAGCACTCAAGAGACTGAGGCAGGAGAAGTGCCACAAGTTTGAGGTTAGCTTCGGCTACATAGTGAGTTCAAGGCCATCCTGGACTGCGTAGTGAGATCCTGTCTCAAGAAAACCAAAAGAAAAAAATAAAAGATACATTGGAACAGACTAATGGTGGTTTTGGCTATGCCAGTTTGAGGTTCAGATATTAAACAAAATGCTTTTTTTTTTAATAAATAGAAACTAGTTACAGGTAAGGGAAGCATTTTTTAAAAATTTGTTTCTTAACTAGGTGCATTTTAGGGAGTATTAAAGGAGGCTTTTGACTAAGGTGCTTACAGATTTTGTTGCTATTTACAGTTAAATCTGTAGTAACATAACACTTATAACACTGTATAACATTTATAACACTGACAGCCCTTTAATTATGGGGCATAGTTGACAATTCAAACATAATGTGCTATTGTGGCTAATGGGCTACATGAAGTGTTCTAGTCGTTCCAATAATGAATGCAGAATCAATTTAGTGCTCTGTTGCTTTTCTTTTTCCTTCTCTAGTATCTTAAAGTGTTCTTATTCAGACTCACTAGAGTAGCCTTATGTTTTTAAAAAATTCCCAACTAATGTTTCTGTTCCTAGGAGAAAAGAAAATCTATAAAATGTGAGTCATACCCATTTATGTTGATTTCGTAGGACCTTTTGCAAGGAAGGTAAATTTCTGCCCCTACAGTAACTTGGAGTTGAAAGACATCCGAAACTGATGAATCTTAAAAAAAAATTTGCTTAGGAACCAATCATGTGGCACGGTCTTTGTTAAATGAGATATATGTAATTTAGGCAGAGGTTTAAATATTGGCTACCTGCGTTTAAAAAAAAAATTAATAAGCACAAAGAGTATGTTTCTATTAGATGTGCTAATTTTTTTTTTTTTGACAAGGTCTCATGTAGTTCAGGCTGGCCTTGGATTTACTATGTAGCCCAGGCTGGCCTCGAAGTTGCAGTGATCCTCCTGCCTCACCCTCCTGAATGCTGGGATTATAGCTGTGGGCCACCATGCATGGCCTAGATTCACTAGTTCTTGAAGATAGTAGTGAGTCTTTCTCTAAAGAAGATATGTTTTTGAGTCATTTGGGAGATAATCTTCAAAAATATTTATAGAGACCAATGAGACTCCAGGTGGTCCTCTTTGCCACAGTGCACATTTAAATCATATTACTATGTGTTTGTCTTCTCTTACTTGGTTTTGGCTTTAATTATAGCTTTCTCTGTTGCATCTAATTACTACTTATAAAATACATGGAAGAACACTAGCTCCCATGACTCTGATGGAGATTTCTATAAAATAAATTTAGATACATGTGACACATTGCATTTTATTAAGGAGACTTATTTAACACATTTAAATTTCAATCTTGGATAATTTTTCATCAATGATCAGATCTGTAATAATAGATACATATGGTATAGTTAGTAGGCCTGTCTTGTCTACAATGTATAACTCTTCTGTAGTAGGATATCAGTCCTACAGAAAATACCAATTTACCACTGCCTGCCCCGAAAGCACGAGGACCCAAGTTCGATCCCTGGTACCAAAAAAAAAAAAAGAAAATAACAATTTAATGTAGGAGATCATTTCTTTTCAGGATTGGCCATTTGATGATGGAGCTCCACCCCCTAATCAGATAGTAGATGATTGGCTGAACCTGTTAAAAACCAAATTTCGTGAAGAGCCAGGTTGCTGTGTTGCAGTGCATTGTGTTGCAGGATTGGGAAGGTAAACATTTATCTTTTGTCTAAGTTCATTATCATGCTTAAGTAAGCCATTTGAAAATTTTACTTTGTAGAGACTTGCCTATATTATACTAAATAATATTAAATTACTGGAAAGAGAGCAAAAGCTAGTGTAATGATTTTCAAAACAGCCTTTTGTATTTCATCTGATTGTCTAATTCTGATGCCATATTGTATTAGTTTAAAAAATGTTTACCCATTTTAAATAATCAAAAGTTTAGGTCATTGAAATTGGCAAGAAAATTAAAATCATTTTAGAGGTTAAAGAGTCTCCATATTAATTTTGGATTGAGATGAATGGGAAGTTAATAGAGAGTAGATAACCAAAGTTTAAACTTTTAAGAGGAGACATATAAACAATGAAAATTGCTTTTTCTCTAAGCATTGTTGGGATGGTGTTGCATCAGTTATCAATAGCAGATTAAATGCCGCTTTGTGACATGCACTTTAACTCAGAACAGTAGTGTAAGCTGCCATTGCCTCAAGGTGGTGGTGACTCAGGTTGTTAGCTCTCTTTATCTCCATTTAAGTATGGTACAGTGTCTTCATAAGGTCAGAAGTTTAGTCCTTACCCTGAATGCAGAATATAGTGTTAGAACTTTACTTGGGGAAATTTTTTTATCAGTAGCTATCCTCGTTGTCCAAAGTTGGGCTTTTTAAAAAACATAATTTTGGGCCAGGGATTTAGCTCAATGGTTCCACTGCCTGCCTTGCAAGCACAAGGTCCTGAGTTTGATCCCCGGTACCAAAAAAACCCCAAAACAACAATAACATAATTTCTAGGGCCGGGGATTTAGCTCAGTGGTTTCACTGCCTGCCTTGAAACCACAAGGTTCCGAGTTCGATCCTGATACCAAAAAAAACACAAACCATAATTTCTGACCTGGGCGTGGTGCTGCATGCCTATAATCCGAGCATTTGGGAGCTGAGGCAGGAGGATCGCAGTGTGTTTGAGGCTAGCCTCGTGGCTAAATAATGAATTCATAGTGAAGCTGTGAGCTTCATAGTGAGACTCTGTCTCCAAAACAAAACACCACAAAACATAATTTTCTTTGTTAAATTTTAAGAAAACACAGGAAGAACTGTTCCTGATTATTCTTTGGGACTCACTTAGCTCATCAACAGGATTCAGTTGAAAAACTGAGACTCTTGCTAAGAAAATACTAAAGTCACTTTGTAATGAAAATTCCAAGACCCTCGAGATAGTACTTTTGGCCATTTATTTTACTGTGATAATGGTTAAAGATAATGAATTTTTGGTGATATATAATGATGAGAAAATTTTGAGTTGTAATGTGGTGATGTTTTAAAGAGCAAAGATCTCTTAAATTTAGAAGTTAACTGTGTTACCAAAAATGATAATATCGTAGATGTTATAATTATAGAGATATTTTTACTGCATAGGAAATACCAGATATTTTAATATATAGGAAAAACAAAAGTGCAACCTTTGCTTTGTCTTGGAAACACGTAGTACTGGGATTTACAAAATTCTTCCTTTTCAGTGGTTTGTGGATATTTACAAATGCATTTCTATTTGCAGGGCACCTGTGTTGGTTGCACTTGCTTTGATTGAATGTGGAATGAAGTATGAAGATGCAGTTCAGTTTATAAGACAGTGAGTATGAGGTTTTAGTGTAGAGGCACATAAAGAAAAATTATGCATGGGGAAGGAATTATGGAAAGTATCCATTTGTAGTATAGAATAATTTGCTGTTCTAGCTTAAAATACTGTTTGAAGATAGACAAAATTTAGAGCAGGGTTGGAATGTAGTTCAGTGGAGGAGCACTTATCTAGCATGCAGAAGACCCTAGGTTTGATCCCAGCACCACAGGGGAGAAAAATTAGAGCAAGTGATAAGGAGACTCAGTAATGCTGGCTCCTCGGTTTAAAGATAGGTGTCAAATTTGTACATTTTAGGGTGTGTCCATTATATGGTTTGAATGTCTAAGAATCTTGAAAAATGAACAGTTAGATAACATCTCATTGATTTAGTACCCCTTTTAATGGATTCCAGAGTATCTTCCATTTTAAAAAAAGTATTTATTTATTTTTTGGTACCGGGGATTGAACTTGTGCTTTCGAGGCCGGCAGTGGAATCACTGAGCTAAATCCCCAGCCCTCCAGAGCATCTTCCAGATGCAGCTTTGTATGACAGCAAGAAGAATGTACAGAGGAGCAGCTGATTTACTTGGGACTGCTAATTGACCTGTTCCTGCACAAAATCTGGATAACAGGCCATGCTATTTTGTTGTCTAGAATTCTTTGTCAATTATTGTTTTGCTTTTTCCTTTTAGCCCTTAAAAGGAAAGAAAATGGGCTGGGGATTTAGCTCAGTGGTTCCGCCGCCTGCCTTGCATGTGCATGGTTCTGAGTTCTATCCCTGGTACTCAAAAAAGTAGAAAAGGAAAGAAAAAAGACTGAAAGAAGGCATGAAATGTATGATAGCAGCTTTAGCATAGTTAACATTTTGGTGTAGATCTCGAACCTGCTTCTTCATCTTTGTATGTGTATGGTACTGGGGATTGTATCTAGGGTCTTCACACTGAGCTACATTTCCAGCCCTTTTAAAATGTATTTTCAGACAGGGTCTTGTTAAGTTGTGCAGGTTGGACTTCAATTTATGAACCTCCCACCTCACTCTTGAGTGCTAGGGTTGGGCCAGGAATTTAGCTCAGTGGCACCGCACCTGCCTCGCAAGTGCAAGGTCCTGAGTTCCATCCCCAGTACCAAAAAAAAAAAAGTGCTAGGATCACTGGTGTGCCCCACTATGCCCCAATTTTTTTTAAAAGACAAAATCTTGCTGTGTAGCCCAGGCTGGCCTTGAACTTGCAGTGATCCTCCTTGAACTTACAGTGAACTTTTGCAGCCTCTTGAGTCCTGGGATTATAGGCATATGACACCACACCCAGCTTTTTTTTTTAAGTATCTGAAATATTTCCTGCTAATTAGAAGGTATATTAATCTAATTGGGAAGAGTGTGGTCAGATGTCTCTGGATAAACCATTTTGATCTTTATTTAAATAGACTAATGTCAGTACACGAAGAAGATTTTCTGTTCTACACTTGATCTTAGCCAAAAGGCCAAGAAGCGATAGATTTTCTGTTCTAATAAGAAGGTTCACAAAGTTTATATTACAGTTTAGATTGTTAAAAAGTGATGTCTTGTTGGGCCAGGGATTTAGCTCAGTGGTGCTGTGCCTACCCGGCAAGTGCAAGGTCCTGAGTTCAATTCCCAGTACCAAAAAAAAATAAGTGATGGGGCTGGGGATTTAGCTCAGTGGTTTTGCCGCCTGTTGCGCAAGCACAAGGACCCGAGTTCGATCCCCGGTACCAAAAAAGAAAAACAATAAGTGATGTTTTGTGGGAAGTATCCTCATCTCAGCAGGGTGGAGTTAGTAAAAAGACCTTAAGCCATAAATAATGCATTTCAGTGAATCAGACAGCTCTTTTTTAAAAAAAAAACATAATAAACTTTGCCATTCTTGTATTTTCAGAAAGAGAAGGGGAGCGTTCAATTCCAAACAGCTGCTTTACTTGGAGAAATACCGACCTAAGATGCGATTACGCTTCAGAGAGACCAATGGGCATTGCTGTGTACAGTAGAAAGAAACATAAACGAAGGCTTACTCAATTGTGGCATTTAGAGGGAACTCTTGCTACCTGGAAATGTGAATCTGAAATCTTACCTGTGTCATCAAAGTAGTGATGATGGATTCAGTACTTCTCAACCACTCTCCTAATGATTGGAAAAAAGCAGACAAATCCCTTAATAACATAAATAAAATGTTTAAGAAAAGAAAATGAGAAAGAGAAAAGGGGTTAATTCAGTGAAGGATGATTTTGCTCCTAATTTTGGAGTTTTAATTTCAGCCAGGATTGAATTATTTCAAAATCTCTTGTCTTTTTTAACTTTTTCAAAATAGATCTCTTAAGGAAAACCAGCAAAATATTAGCCTGTGCATAACCATCTGCTTGGGGAGCACATTCTTCCATTGTGCTTGGCACGTAGATCTGCTTGTGGTGGGATTTTTTTTTTTTTTTTTTTTAGGGGGAAGAAGGGTATATTTTCTCCCCTTCTTTCTCTCCTGTCCTCTCCCTTCCCCTATACACATTGTAGATGGAATAGGAGAAGCCCTTGTTGCTGTAGATTTGCGTGCAGTCTGGCAGCCTTAAGCCCACCTGGGCACTTTTAGAAAAAAAAACACCAAAAAA